ATGTCATGGTTCTCTTTCAGGAATATACAACCATTAGCCACAACATTACAACCAGTAACTGTTTTTTATGTTGTGGCTGACTGGTGTATATACAGTATATATGCTGTATATACAATATCAGTATTGTCTGTTTGTTTATTTTGTCTGCAGCATTTAGGCTACATCACAAACATTTACTGGAGCAATATCAGGATCAAAGTGGCTCAAGTTTAAAACCCTACCAAGAAATTCATCTTCACACACATATTACCACCACTGTCATTGGCACTATAAAAATACAGTATCCTTTTTTATATCAAAAGCAACTCCACAAAGACAGTACAAAAAAAACAGCTCTACAATAAGTGTACAAATGACAAGCTGAACCAAAGCAGCAGACTCTGAGGTGTCACACCTATTACACAAGTCCCTTCAACAACCAGCGGTACATCCCCAAGGGGTTTGTTTTATGTTCTCCCTGCCTTACATGAAACTACATCTTGAAAGCAGTCATCAAACACAGAATCAATAGAGAGGCTTGGGGAAACACCACTTAGCCCTGTGTGAAAGAGGAGGATTTGCAGACACAAGGTCTTTTCTGTACAGTGCACTGTGCCCCAATCTTGCCATTACAGCAGTACCGAGACCTCAGGGTATGTATCACCATTCAAAAGGGCAGAGACACTGGCTAAGAATGGAGACATGTTGTACTATTACACATCCTTGACTGAAAAGCAAATGTAAACAAAAGAATTTTCAAGTAGAAAATGGACCGTCTGTCATATAAATTGTATAAACCCTTTTCACTGGACATTTTCTTACACTTAAAAGGCAAAATGGCAAAGTCATTCTGTACATCTTCAAGATCTAAAACATACAGTATACTTACAAGATCCCTTTTGTAATAACTTTTTCTACTTCTATCATTTTCTGTTTGGCCACTACCACCACATTGTCCTCCCAGGAAAAATGATAGCTGAGTTTGCAGACTACTCTCACAGGAAAGCAGTTGGTTTAGAATTGCCAGTGGAACTAAAATTAGCTCAAACCAGTGACCCAACTCTGGCTTCATGCCTTCTTCCAAATATGAGGAGGAACAAGTGTGGGAGCTGTCAGCCCACAGGGTACTGAAATACACCAACAAACAGCTGAATGTTAAGCTTCATTTTATCGAGAGAATCTACAGTGATGTGGGCAAAATGGTCAAATGCAAAATACAGCCACTGCTGTATGAATGCTATTAAACATTTATATTAACTACAATCTTCCCTGACCTTATTTACTTACAGACAAAGTGGAGCAAACAATCTATCGTTGCTACAGTGTGCACATAGATTTGTTCAAAAGCACTGCACTGTTGTTTTAAAGTAAGTTTTGTATGTTTGGAGGTGTATGATCATTGCTTATGAATATGAGTTCAACTGTTAACCAGACACTTTGCTATGGTTCTTACCTAATCCTGTCTGATAATCACCAGATAAGACTGGGTTTCAGCTGAAAAATTAAGCAAGGGTCTGGAGATACATGAGAGGTCAAAGGAATAAAGGAAAAGCCCCTGTCAAGCAAAATCTATGAGGTTAATTAATCAGCTGGAAAAAAACAAACCATACATGATACGTGAACTTTTTACGAAAGCAAGACTACTCTCGTAACTGGGTTTGCAGTCAGAGGTTAAATTCCCCATTCAGTATTTTATAAAAAAAAAAACGTTGTTGTATGTAATTTTAAAAGGTAAACCTGATTAACAATGTAGAAATCCAGTGTTTGAAGTGAACAAGCAGACCAAACCTACCTTCATTTATGGTGTTCTCTGGTTTTAGAGATGTCAAAGAGCAACCAAGCCTAATTACTTACATACTGTAGTTGCAATATTGCAATGAATATCCCATATTAATCCAAAAACTTCAGGATGCCCTCTGTAGCAAGCATCAAAATAAAAGATTATACATATCATATCCCTCTTAAGAGCCTTAGGCAGGATGCCATGCAGATCTCATATGTTATGTTGTTGTTGTTGTTATTATTATGTAATCCATCTGTTCTGTTGGGAATGGTCATCTCCAGGGTGCTCTATCAGCATGTGGTCTGTAAGTGGCACACTGGACTACAAACAGGCCAGAGTAAATCAAATGGCTCCACAAATCCACCAGGTTCTGAGCACCCATGCCAAACGTGAGCAATAGCCCTGCATATGTAGTCAGATTTCTTCAGGGTTCTTGCAAAGCTAGCCTGAGCCAAAAAGCTATGCTACTAAGAGCAGCGAGGGGACCTAAGCCTGTCAAAGAATAGCAGTCAATATGGTATCTTCCAGATCACTTGAAGGATTGTAGGCCACCCCCCTTTGGATATACTGTCTGTATTTCGGGATTAGCACAAACTGGATTTCTTAAATCCCGCGTATAATATCTTGGATATTAGGGTTTTCAAGGAAATTGGTTGCGCTCACACCTTAAATGTCACAAAGCGTAATCAGGTGTATTATTGCTATGAATTAGTTGCTAGCAAGCTGAAGCTAACGTTGGGTCGCTAGCCACTTGTACAGGTCAGGTGGAATGATCAAACAGGGAAACAATCCGGTAGTGCTGTTACCCAGTTAACTTGCTTCCATTTAACATAACGTCACGGCAACGTTAACGTTTAACTGCTCAGTGAATAAGGGTGTTTTTGTTTCACGTTACTGCAAAATGAAAAAAAAAGATCTTGAATGAGATACGGTCCCATAATTCAAAGGAAACATAATGACCCTGCACTACTCTACAGTTAGCTTAGCCGCGCTACCGAGCAAAGGATGGAGAGGCGAAAGCTGAGCAGCCCGTTAAAACGTTACCTTATTTATTCCAGGCACTGGCGGTGCAGTTCTTTTTCTGGTCTCATCCGAACGACACTGCCGCCGATAAGAGAAACACTGGGGTCTCTTTAGAGAGGCCGTCCAGTCCCGAGAGTATTTTCAAGACTAAAGCAGTGTTTATAGCGTGTAAAGGCGATACAACTGAAAACTGACAGACACAAAAAAATCAGTATCTTGTAGTCTTCTGGTGTGCTACGAGTGCTGGAGCCAGTCCATGGGCAAAACCATTCCCTCTGTGAGAGGGGGAACCTAAACGAAGTGCTGAAGTTTGCATTCTCAATCTGGTACCAACGTGACATTTAGTGTGCTGTAGGACGTACATGTTAAGTCAGCAAATTTTATTTTCACCTATCAACTAACTGTGAGGACAAAACAAAAGTGTTATCGCCGCTGCGAGTTATCTTTCCTACACCTTTAGCTCATTGTTTAACGTAGGTTTCGGTGCGGCTCTTCCTCCACTACTCGTTGATACATTCACAAGGAAGCTACCTAGCAACTGTGTCGCTGGCCATGGTGCTAAAAAAACAACCCTGCTGTTAATGGGTGCGACCCGCTCAGAGGTCATTAACGTTCAATTATCATTTCCTACAGTAGTAATCACTGTAATAACCTGGATATCTTCCTCAAAATGTGTCAAATACGCTTGCTTTCCTACACATATTATATTTACCCAAATATCAGTTTAAGCCCATCTAAGTGACGCGTAAAGTTTTCAATAATTCTAAAGTTTTCTGTCAGGCTCTTAGTAACTGAAACCAAGGCTTTAAACCAGTTCAAAGCCTTGGTTTAAATTTGTTTCTTGACATTTCTTGACTTCAATTATCTTCACTTGAATACAAGATGAAATAATAATTGTAATTTTGTTGTTACCCATACAGATTTCAGTTAATTGTCTTCCAGATTTGTTTCCACTCTTCTAAGTCATTTATTCACCGCAAAGATAAGTTTGAAGTGGCTCGGCATCACGACCAACGACCACCTAACAGACGCTTTTGAAGCTAGGTTGGTTTGCTGAGGTAAAACTATAAGATAAAACTACGAATTAAGCTTTAGGCACATTTCGTACCAACAAATTCAACGTGTTTCACAGGAAAGCAGTTCATTGGAAGAAAGAAGTAATACCCAAAGGCTACCACAAATAGTAGGCATAGATGGTGGGCTGGCTCCATGGATGCGCTGAACAATGTATCCTCTAACACATTAGTAAACAAATTGATTTCGCTAAGTTTTTTTTTTGTCATAGGAATTATAAGACTTGACTAACTTTTGACATTTTATACTGTGAGCCAATATCACCCTACAGGCTTACAGATGTTTACTACTTAAACCACAATTAATTCTCAAAAAGACGATATTAAGAATTAGATCTTTTGTTGTTTAGTTGCATTTTAAGTTAGTGACTGGCTACGGACCTTTGGTCACTCGATTGAAATGAGAACATACCCCGTACATTTTTCTCCAACTGAAACGTCCGCAATGAAAAGTTCCCTATGAATTGATTGTTAATGGCTCTCAACACACCTCACCTCTCACTTATTTTTATCTCTTCAAATCAGCCTACAAAAGTGTGTAGGCCTACATTGTCTCCCAACCTATTTGACGTTAAAGGATAGCGTCACAGTCCGTAAAGATGTTTTTTTAAACATTCTGCCAAAAGGCTGCATTCAGATCTCTTGGGAAATAGGCTACAGAGACCCTCTGCTTCAAAAACACGATTCACGCTTACATACAAATTAAGGATTTTCAACACCTCATTCTGGGATCAGAGTTCTTATGACTAGATATGTCCATTGTGGTTGACAATGCAGTGTTTGATCTGTTATATTAAAGAAGAGAAATTTTCATAGGTCTAAGCATAGACTGTATATAAAAGGGCCTACGTGATGTCGCTTCAAAGCTCCACACCACTTTGTTAGTGGTTAGTGGATAAAAATAATAATAACAACAACAATAATAATAATAATAATAATAATAATAATAATAATAGTAATAATAAGAGTCACTACGTGAAACTTCTAACAATTTAACAAAGGTAACCTAATAAATATAATGTGTAAATATATAACATATCCCATTCATAGACTGTATATAAAAAGGTCCGACCAGTACGTGAACGCAGCATTTCACACGTCGTTTCTACGGGTATTCTCATATGACGTGAACGCAGCACAAAACGACAGCAGGCAGAGGTGAAAAGTCTGGATCATGTTTTCATTCCAGCGGAGGCATACTTGAACGACAAAGGACATTGTAAATAAAGACCAACAAGGCGGTTAGCAGAGCACGTCGAGTTTCTGTCCTCAAAGAGAAGACATTAATGTTGTTGTTAGCCAACCAGCTAGCACAAGCTGAAATTTGTTAGCTAGCTAACGTTGGACCCTGTTAGCCTACCGCCACCATCATCGCTCCTAGCCAGCTGTGCATCGCCCTGTCTTCCTACGATGGGAAACACAGCAACTGCCAAGAAAGGCAATGAGCAAGAAAGCGGTAAGCACCTGAAAACCATCCAGCTAGCCCGTCAGCCGTCTATCGTTAGCCGTTGTACAACGTGCGATTGCTTATTATAAAGTCAGTGGAGAGCAGCCTTTAGCAGTTGTTGTCCAGTGCTAGCAGACAGTACAGTAATATGCGCTGCAGAGAAGAACCATCTTTGATAGGGCAGTTTACAAGGTGTGTTAGCTCCTTCCTAATGATTTATGTTTGCTTATCTCACTTGGAAACAGTGCCTCAGATGATGCAGCCAGCTAATCATTGAAAATGACATGAGCAAAATGGCAGTGTGGTCCTCACCATCCTGTTTACCACAGCAGTGAATTCAAAGAAAGAACCTTGACTCTCTTAATGGTAGTCTCACGCTGTAACGTTGAGCTGAAGTTATCAAGGCTCCATGTTTAATTTTTAAAAAGCTAATATCAGCTGCCTGGAGCCAGATAACAGCAGCAAACATTAGTTTCTACTAAAGCTGCAGTACAAGGCCTGAGTATTGTTAACAACAGGTACTTGATAACGTTTAAGATAAGTTCACAAAAAGGATGCTTGATGTGGCTGAACAAGGCTAGTGGTTGTAATAAACCACTGGTTGTTTTCCAAACAAGGCCTCCAAATTGGCTAGCAACAGTTTCTATCAGACCAGGTTAACACTGATGTGTCAAGTCAGCTGTCAACAAGTTTACTGTAAATCAACATGTTGTGCCTTGATCACTGCTTTCTTACAGTGGCTTTAACCTCTAGTGTTGATGTTATAACATTAAGGAAAGGTAGCTCCTCTCTTAGTAACATTGCACCTGTTGACCAGCAATTTTGCAATCTCAAGTGCTTAATCACTTGATAGCAGTAGCCAGAGGGCACTCTGTTGTGTTTAGTGTGCCTTTGTCAGTATAGACCAAGCTAATCCACTAAACTGTACCATGGCTATTGGTCTGTCTGAAGAGCACTGATCTTGACCTGCTTTCTGATTGGCAGTAGTCCATACAGTCTCTTAGACTTGTGACTCGAGCCACCTGTAGTGTCTACAGAGAGGTTGTGTACAACAACACTATGATGCAAACAACAAGCTACAGAGACTTGTTAACACAATGTTGATGTCATTTAGATTTTTGTTTGCATTTTAGGTATTTAATGTTGTTAGCCACAGTGGCCCATACCAAGTGCAACTCCAAAACAAATCCAAATTAATAGTACACTAGCATTTAAAAAACAGTAGTGTGCAGCATAAGAGTCAGTTTTGTCAGGGTGACTTTAAGCATAGGGGAAAGCTCTTTGAAGAACTGCATTGTTAAACTTTACCACCAGAGAGCACGATAACCTGGAGATAACTTCTCTCTCAGTTAGTCAGTGGGTGTTACAGGCCTGCAGTTCCCTTATCTGCACTCTGAATGCAGCACAGCTGTGCAGTGTTTTTGACATAACTTTTAAGAGGCTGGCCCTTTTCTGTGCTTTGCCAACTTTGTATACCTTTGTCAAAACAACATCACTATTTGCATAGGAAAACAATAACTGCTTTCAAATGAGACTGCACATAACAAGTAGACATACAGTTGGCCACTGATACTGAAGCAGAGTACTTCAACAGGAAGCTTAACTTTATGTGGTTAGCCAAGCATTGCAGTGCACTTGGCTGCATACAGGAAGCTGGTGTCACTCATTTCACTTCAGACTGAAAACGGTTGCTTTGTCTTGGAGCCTTTTCACTCACACATCAAGAAATTTGTCTCAAAATGGCTCAGGGAAAGGAGCAATCCTTCGCCAGCCGTTTATTTCAAAAATGTCGCAAGAGTAGCCCAGAGCAGAGAGGACAAGAGAGTGACATACCTCATATCTCTGAGTTCACCATCATGTGGGATAAATTGAGTAAGTGCAGTGTTGCTTTTACACTTGAAATGTGTCTGCCACCATTTGTAGCTCTGAGCGGGATGAGTCTTGGCTTGTATTTGTAGTTCTTATTTGCAGGAAAACTAATTTACTTGGAAGCTTAAAAAACGAACCAAGATGCCTATTATTCTAAATTGTGCAGGTCTTTTATTGTGCGTGATACATATTTAAATTTGATGAATTTTTTTCATGTCAGGTTTTAAAACTGCAAGCAGCAGCCCAGTTTCATGACCTTTATTTTTAGTGTTTCTCTTTACCTTCCTCATCAGGTTCACAATTGCTGTATTTTCACACAGCTATTAGACATAAGTAAAAGCAGCTTAGGCATAGCACTTTTTAGTGCAGGCCATTTGTGGCGCTTCAGTTGCTTACATCATTTTAATATCGCTGTCCTGTCATTTTTGTCTACTGTTTTGCAAGTATGAAATGTGTTTTTATGTGTGCTTTTTACAATGTCTTTTCCAATCACTGTTGTTTTATCTTCTTTGTGACAGATGATTGTAGTTTGACAATATTGTATTCAGAGTAGGATAGGAAAAGCCTTCTCCAGTACTGGTAAGAAAGAGAGTCTCTATAGTGAACATTAGCTAGTGTACAGAATCAAACCCCTATGAAGAGAATTATCCATTTGTTGCATAATTGTAAAGAAGAAACAAAAATATGTTTTGATGAAGGTGCTGTACAGCAGTTTATAAATACCCTTGATTATTGGTTTTAAATAAAGTCTTCAAACCAAAATAATCCTACAAGGGTATAAGTATAGCTGTATAGGTAGGGTGCCTTATGTTGTTTTCTTCAGTGTCATTTTGTTGTGTGTTGCGTTTAATCCACTTGAATCTCAAATGTTCTTGTTTTTAGCTCTTCATAAATGTTTCTTCCTCTCTTTCTCTTCTCCATCATTTCCATCCATGTGGGTGAATGTTCCTGCAAACCCTTGGTGAACTGTAGAGACTTTTGGTATGCTCATTTTTCCATGAGCCGTCCTAAATCACAGAGAGAATGTTTATTCTGCAGCTCAGGCCTACCAGGCTTGTACTATTGTATCTAAATATTACAAGGTTAAACAACCTAGCCAGTTAACATACAGATTTCACATATACAGCAGTCCATCAATGCTAGGTATGCATTTAAATCAGTAACATTATACCAAAGTGTACTACCAACTAGACATTAGACACCTGCAATGACTCTGTGACTTTGGACATCTCATGTCTGCTGTGACTTTCATAATGCACTGTCTTTCTAATGCCTGCACTGTAGTCCAAGTTATGTTTTGCATTTTGTCTTTTCTCTCTGCCTATTATTACTGCCTCCCCTTTACTCCCACCTACTCTGAAAGAGATGCAGAATAGCTTGAGCTTGAATTGGCCAGTTCTGTAAAGTTCACAAGAGCTCTTTGCATCACTTTATTAATTAAAACTTCCTGCTTAGGTGTGTGGTTTTGAGTTTTGTTTAGGAGGCATTTTTTGCCGTTTTGTCAAGTTTAGTCCTGCTGTCACAGTGCGTGACATTTGCCTGACCTTATAGTGCATTTGTTCCCCTGAACCTTTGAACTGCCTTTGTTTAGTTTCCTGAACGCGTTAACAGCCCTAGTTTGTTACTTCCTTGAATATGTAACCTGACCTTGTTTGATGCTAATTGCTAAATGCTAATTGTTTTTATTACACTTCTCTCTTGTTTTTGCAGTGAAAGAGTTCTTAGCTAAAGCCAAAGAAGATTTTTTAAGAAAATGGGAGTGTCCACCACAGGTACGTTGTTCTCTTTAGTGCTTTATAGAATAAAAACTTTTTATTTCTCTTAATACTCGGGGCTCAACTGTTCTTATGTTGAAAAATGATTAGATGAATTGTATGATAGCGCAGCGTCTAGCCACTTCCTTTAGCTCAAATCTTGTTGACTTCAATGCTAGATGATTGCGTAATTGTTAGTAAGAGATATTTACTCTTTTTTTTAAAAAAAAAAAAAAAAGGGTAGCTCTGGGTTTTAACTCTGAACTACAGGAAGACAAAATGTTACACTAGTGGCATATATAAAAGCTCCATGTACACCTAAATTACAGACAGAGTTGAAGCATTTCAGCCATCAGTTTGTTGTCTCACTTCCACTGATAATGTGTTTCCTTAGAGCACAACTGGCCTGGATGACTTTGATAGGTTTAAGACTTTGGGCACTGGCTCATTCGGGCGAGTTATGCTTGTCAAACATAAAGGAACAAACCAGTTCTACGCCATGAAGATCTTGGACAAACAAAAAGTAAGTGTATACTTTCAAAGAAAACAGTTTACCCATCTCATAAGAACCAGTGTTATAAATTAAGGTAGTCTGTGTAACGCAAACTCTTGCATGCTTGACAAATGCTGTAACTTCATAGAGTAAATGCTGTGTATCTCATAAAAGGAAATGGAACGCTTCCTCTCACACGGTGCCAGCATGTTATCACTGAAAACCTCGGAGGCGCGTCATGATGAGTTTCGATCTTTAAATACTGATGTGAAAGACGTAGGAGGAGGTTAATGTGTCCGCAGTGTTTCAATCATGTAGCAGTAGTCTTTTCCCTTGAAATTCACACAGATGGTTTAAGAAATATCCGACCTGTCTTTCTGTTTCAGCTGCACTGCTGAAAGACTTTCCTTCTTACAGTGTATTGCTGCTCACACAGACTCTTTTTGTTTCTTACCACTTTCCATGCTGAGCTCTTCAAGGATTATACACTGTTTTTGCAAGTTTTAGTCCATTTCCCTCCTCAAGTATTTTACAGATTTACTGCTTTCTAGGTAGCCATTGTTCTCCATGTAGTCATTTCACTAAAACATGTAAATTAACTTGCAAAGACTTGAAAGTTGCTTGAGATACAGTAGGTAGGTCATCACTGTGAATATAATGGCCAGGTGTTATATCATTGTGTTGCTATGAAGTTGTTAATTGAGTGACTGTGTGATTACTTTCCTCTCTGTGGTTGCTCAGTGTTAGTCCTCTCACTTTGCTCTGCTGATGCTGTTCAGATGACCCTCACGTCTTGTATGTCTTGAGCTTTCCACCATCTCATGAATGCACCTGACAGGCAGACATTTCAGATTAGTTGTACTTTCATCCAGTAACAGATCTAACAGAACATGATGTTCACTCTGGATTATCTATCTTGAGCAAGTTTTAAGTCTCTGCAGGCTGATTTTCACACCTTACTAAAATGAATGGAAGCTAGTAGCTGACTAAAGAGCAGGAGAAACACAATTTCAAAATGTAGAAAATGATGCTATTAAAAATCTGTCTATGGACTAAAACATGGAAAAACTCTCTCTGTGCATTAACAGTTAGGCATGCCGAATCATGAAAACCTTATGGGTACTTGTGGCTTTTCTTTATGTTGTATTTTGGAAATTATAAAACACACACACACACACACACACACACACACACACACACACACACACACAAAAGGACATAATATGCTTAACATACACTTAGTACTTTACTTGTGCCCTTTTCTTTCAGGTGGTGAAATTGAAGCAAATAGAACACACACTAAATGAAAAGAGAATACTACAGGCCGTTTCCTTCCCCTTCCTCGTCAGATTGGAGTACGCTTTCAAGGTAAACACTGGCACCCACCTCTAACAACCAGCTACATGGTTACCACATTACCAGTGTGTTTATGTTTCACCAAGAAAACTTAACACCAACCTCATTAACCTCACACTGTTATTATTCACCTGTAACAGTGCTACAGTTGATTCAGCACATCTCAAAATAACCAGCCATCCAGGGTTTATAAAAGATATATGTACAAAGATAAACTCTACAGAGTTGACACACCCATAATGTACCATCTTTCAATCTGATTCGGGGGGTTTTATTTCTCAACCTGAAGAACACTTTTTAGTTCACATTTATTCTGTTGGTATGACCCTGCTGAAAGGTGTCTGGCTTTGTTAAACAGGACAACTCGAACCTCTACATGGTGATGGAATATGTGCCCGGTGGAGAGATGTTCTCACACCTCAGACGTATTGGAAGGTTCAGGTAAGGGGTACATAGGAGTCTATTTCATTGTTTATTTGGAGTGCTGTGTCAGTCACTAATAGCTGGACAAAGAATTATCAGTTTTCACTGTGTACACTGTGGTCTGGTAACGCCATGGGTGAAATAGCTTGAGACCGACATCATTTTAAGTTGGAAGTTGGTTGCTCCTTCACTGAAAGGAGGCTTTTGTTCATGTATTTCATCAATGTATGCCTATCTACGTTTCCCTCTTTCAGTGAACACCATGCAAGATTTTATGCAGCTCAGATAGTACTCACCTTTGAGTACCTTCACTCCTTAGACCTCATCTACAGAGACCTGAAGCCTGAAAACCTGCTCATAGATCAACATGGGTATATCCAGGTACACTATCTATATAAAGTTTATAACAGAAAAGTAAATAGACTGAAAAGGTATCTTTCAAATTCTGTATAAACTATTAATTGTACTCCTTTGGTAAGAAGGAAGCCAGAAGCACTCCTCAGATGCTATGAGAAGACAGGGGTGAATGTCAGGACCTACTTGATTTTAATATATAGAGGGGAAGTTCTGGAAAAAAGTAAACACACTTACTTAGACTCATTTAGCCTGCTAATAAAGAGTAAAGGTAAAAAAAAAAAAACACCCAACCAAATGTAGGCTTTTAATGGCTATGGTTAAGAAGTACATGTTAACTTTTTCCTTGCATATTTACAAATCTTGTCACTCTCCTATTGTTCTTTCTTAAGGTCACAGACTTTGGCTTTGCCAAAAGAGTAAAAGGCAGGACCTGGACATTGTGTGGAACTCCTGAGTACCTGGCTCCAGAGATCATCCTCAGCAAGGTGAGCCCTTTATACTGAACATAGCTGATACAAACCATCTTGCTGCAGTCCAGTTCCAGTGTGTTAGAACAGAAACTTGTTTTTCATTGTTTTGGCTTTGTGCTCCAACTCACTGGATTTCAAATGAAGCAATGACAATGAGGTGTAACTGCTGACTTTCAGCTTTAAGTGTCCTCGCATTCACATTTGGAGAAAAGTGATAAGAATCGTAGCCCTTTAAATGCAGAGTAACCCCAGTTTTATTACAGCACTGCAGGACAATGATACTAAACATACAGACAAATCAAACAATGAGTTGACAAGACAAACTATACGTTTATGTTCTCAGACTGTGGAAAATATTTTCTTGGCATTTTACCTTTATTTGACAATTGACATTCTAGAGAGAGGGAAACAATGGCAGAGAGAAAGAGATATGACATGAAACAAAGGTCCCCTGACCCAGGAGTCAAACTGTGGACGTTGTGGTTTTGTGCTATGCGCCTCAACCAGTACGCCACTGGACACCCTACTGTGGATTGTCCTTGACTGGCTGTCAGTCACCTGACTTCAGTCTAACTGAGTATGTGGAGGTTTGATGAAGAGAAAACTAGACAGGAGTTGATTGAGAGTTGAGGTAGAGTTGCTTGTCAATATGAGGAGTAAAGAGATGACCTAAAGAAAGGTAAAGAAGATAATGAAGCTAAAAAAAAAAAGAAGCAAATATCTATCAGAGAGACATCAAAGGTAATTGGATTGTGAAAATCAACAGTTGGGTACTTTTTTCAAAAGCAGTTACGCACAGGAAATCTAGAAATTGATAAACAACCTGGTAGACCAAGGAGCACAAGTCTTGTGGGAAACCACAGCACAGCAAGTCAAAACTGTCCCCCAGGATGTAGGTGTATATGTTACCTAGTCAACAACAAGAGATGACTTCACAACCTGACATCTGATAAGCCTCAAAAACAGAAACACAAACACTATAAAGAGAAACTGGTAGAGTGCAAGAACAAAGTTCTATGGACTGATGAAACAAAAATCAACCACTATGAAAACGATGAAAAGAAGGAAGTGTGGACAGAAAAAGATGATCTGATGACTCAAAGCTCCCACCTCATCTGTCAAAAACAGTGGCGGTTCTTTTATGGGCTGGGCATGTGTAGCTGCCAGTACTGCCAGTAGAACTGGTACACTGGCATTTATTGATGATTTCACAGCTGATGGAAGCAACAGGATGAATACAGAGGTATACAGGAGCATTCTGTGCTCAGATTCAGCCTAATGCGTCAAAACTCATTGGATGATATTTCATCATTCAGCAGGACAATGTTCCTAAACAAGCTTTTCAGAGTGGTGGTGGAATATCCTCGACTGTCAGTCACCTGATCTCAATCTGACTGAGCTGCATTCCACTTGATGCAGGCCAGGCTAAAGGCTGAGAGACACCACAATAATCAAGGGCTGAAAGTGGCTGCAGTGAAGCCCTGGAAAAGCATCACCAGGGAAGATGCATACTTCTGCTGATGTCTATGGGTCGAATACTTCTGACAGTCCGTGACTGCAAAAGATTTTCCACAAAATATTAAACATGATGTCCAAATAAATTTGAACCCCTAAACTTTGGGCACTATGTGTTAAAAGAGATATATCTCCCACACAGTTCTTTCTATGTTAAAATAAACCTACTCAAATTAAAGCTGAATCTTGGCACTTTGATGTAGTATTCATTATTTTATTTTAAATTGGATTCAGGTCTTAAATTGGAGTCTGAAAAATATAGAATGTGTAACTGTCCAAATATTTATGGTCTGGACTGTATGTCCCAGGACTTTCTGACTGTCATTGCCGATTGTCATCCAGGTTTTTCCTGCTTAAGAGAAGACAGCCTTAGAAAAAGAATTAAAATAATTCCTGTCTTCCAGGGCTACAACAAAGCTGTGGACTGGTGGGCACTCGGAGTTCTCATCTATGAGATGGCTGCTGGTTATCCTCCCTTTTTTGCTGATCAGCCTATCCAGATCTACGAAAAGATTGTGTCTGGCAAGGTACGCTGGGTTAGCTTTGGGCAAGGAATGTTAATATTTTTCCCAGGTTAATGCTTGGCCATTTCTCAGCTTCAATTCCAGCCATAAGGACCAACTCAACACTGGATCTCCAGTGGTTCTTTACTTCTCTTTACTTACTGTAGTCCAGCATATTAAAGAAATCAGGTGAAGCAGCACAAGTATCTTTCAGCAATTGGTTCTTTGATAATTTAGAGTTTCTTTTTTCAATCTTGTAGGTACGATTCCCCTCTCACTTTAGCTCCGACCTGAAGGACTTGCTGAGAAACCTGCTTCAGGTAGACCTGACAAAGAGATTTGGAAACCTGAAGAATGGTGTGAATGACATAAAAAATCACAAGTGGTTCTCCACAACAGACTGGATTGCCGTCTACGAGAGAAAGGTAGGTATCAATTTTGTTGTTGTATACAATAAGCAGCCCCTTTGTCTGACACAAAATTTATTTTGCATACTGCATCTTTAGGTTGAAGCCCCTTTCTTACCAAAGTGCAGAGGACCAGGAGATACAAGCAACTTTGACGACTACGAAGAGGAGGACATTCGTGTCTCACAAACAGAAAAGTGTGCAAAGGAGTTTGCTGAGTTCTAGTGAGGGGGCAAGAGTCCCATCAGGGCTCAAGTGTTTTGGGATATTTGCACTCTCCTGGGGGTTAAGGTGGAACTGAGGCCGTCACATGTTCAAAACAAACGTCTCATTCCTTCATTCCACACGGCTGAATGAGGTCCTTCTTGCCATGATCCTGCGTGCAGTTAGCACTAACCTATACACAGGCACATTATGCAGACACCCCTTGTGCTGCAACACAGAAATACTAGACCACTTCCTCATCTTTTGTCGTTTGTTTTCTACGTTTGCCACTTTTTGAGTATCGTCCCTCCTCCTTATTTCAATTCAAATAATTATTTGAAAAATAACGTGAAAACCAATATTACTCCAATTTTCAAGTGGCACAAAGAGTGATTGATTGTATTAGCTGGTATTGCACATTTTGTGATATAAGCTTTGGGAAAATAGAAGGGATTCTTGGTTCAAATTTTTAACACATAGTTTTACCAGTTGTCTGTCGTCTGTTACATGCCTGAGTGTGTTTTAGGGTTCAGTTTATTACTCATTAATCATGAACACTTTAACATTAACCATTACTCATCATTCTGGTGTCCTTAAGACCTACAACCGTGTATTTGTGCATATAGAAATATACATATATGATACATACGATTTGAACACTGTTTTGTTAAAGCATGACCAAAATTCAGTCAAAGAAAGTGGTTCAGCGAAGGAAAAGAAACACTGATGACTTCTTGAAGTTTCTGAGGTTTTAGCACTCGGGCATTCGATTCTTGAAGAGACTGATTAACAGTGACAAGTGTTATTGTGAAACAGAAACTTGTCAGTGCTGTATTAGTTGATCAGTTGTAGCATTGTTTTATCCATATCCAGTCACAGGACATTTCCTTTTACCTCAGACTAGGTGTGGTATTAAATGAATGGAATGAAATGATATATTTTTCAGGTACAACTCTGTTTCAAAAGAATGGAAACTGATGAAGTTTGAGTATGGTCATCTGTCTTTGGTATGTCCAAAAAGATATGAAGTACATTGACATGGCATTTTTCAATAGTTGAAAGGTCAGTTGTTAGATTTTCATGTGGGTACGTCATCGTGGCAACGAAGCAGTGTTGGTCGCATGGACATAATTTGTCCATTTGGGGTTGCTTTTCGATTTTGCTTTTAACAGCTAATCGTGCTTTAGCAGAGCACTTGGAAGACATTGTGTAACTGCCATATTTGCTTTATTTTCATATTTACTTTTGCATGTTTGTTATGTTTGTACAGCAGTGTCACAACAAGCTAATAGTGACCTAACAGTGTTCCCATCTTTTTTGTTCTTTTTTTTTTTTTGTTGTTACATTTAAATAGTTTGATAGCTTGGGACATTAGATATGTACTTTTTATCTGGGTGACATATTCCTCTGCATAATCCAATTAAAACAAAACTAAACCATGAAATACACTTTAACTATAAAATAATAACAAAAAACGGAAATATCATAACCTTGAAGTATTCATTCATCTTGGTCACTTACTTGGTTGAAACATCTACCTACTGCAGTTATAGCTCGTAGTCTCTTAGCATCATTTTCTAAAAAATTTGCACACTGTGATGGAGCAATATTTGCTCATTCTTCCTCGCAAAATTGCTCAGGCTGAGTCAGGTCAGTTAGAACGTTAATGGACAAAAATGCTGTAGTCTTGTCTCAGATTTTAAAAGGGAATAAGATCAAGAGTCTGACTTTTGAAGTACTTTTTTTCCACTGTAAGCCACTCCTGTTAAGTTATTGTCTACATATATTCAACATGTATTTTGTCTCCTTTTTTCTGGGTTTTTTTCTATACTGGGCACCATTCATTTCCCATTAATTCTGACACATTGACTGTCCATGCTGCTGAAATGTACTCCCTGCCTCTGCAAACTCCTCACCAGTGTGACAGATTGTCGTATTTAAAAAAAAAAAAAAAAAAAAAAAAAAATCTTTTGTTTATCAAAGGTACCTACAAGACCAAGGTGTCCACTTGTTGAACTTCCAGATGTTAGAAAAGCTCTGTTTGTGATCCTTTGATTCTTTAAGAAGGAAGTTTGACTCTGCCGTCCACAGAGGGGTCAGAGATTGAGTTCATTTCTGCAGGTTGGACACAGGGTTGTGGGGAATTCAAAGTTTTACATTTTACACTTTGTTTGAAACAATAATGCGTTATTGACAGTCTTTCAATTGAAAGTCTCTTAGGTCTTCGGACGTTTTGATCATTATTTAACATGGTGCTCAAGTCCTTGTTGATGAGGAAAAATGCAATTTAATCAAGTTCAACAATCTTAAGACAACCAAATGTGAAAAGGGGAATTAACACTTTTTTATTTTTATTTTTTTTTTAGGTACTTATGTTCTATTTATGGCCTGAATTTAAATTTTTTTTCATAGATTGATCACATGATGTGACATTTTATTTAGCCCTTATTTCATTTCAAAAGGCACAACTGTTTCTTATGCTATTTTTATTTATATTTAGAGATGTCTAATGAAATAACATTTTAAATGTTTAAACGTGCATAGTTCTCAGTATATAAGGAGACTCCAAATGTTTTAATCACAAAAGTGTTATAAACAGTGAATATATTGGATAATTTATTTGTACTTTTTTTTCATTTACCCTTAAAAGAATAAAAGATTTATAGAAAAACATATTTACCACAGTTAATACGCACTGATGCCTCTCAAGCCTATTTATAATTATATCCTTTTATTTTAACTTATTTTTTTCTTAATTTTCTTATTTTTCTTTTTAGTTTTTTGTTATTTCTTCATTTAGAAAATCAACTTTAAAGAGGATCCAACATTAATTTCCTATTTTAAAGGTTGAACAGAATGTAATTGCAGAATCAATGGCCAATTTGTATTTGGACAAAGTTTGAAAGCTACACCTGGGAATTCAGCATGTTTCAGTCCAAACTGCCTGTGTGTAAATCTTCCCAGAAAGTGTGTAGGAAATCCATAGCTCTTCTTATGTGTCATTTATCCCCCCCATGTGTGTAATAATGTTTGTCATATTTGATGTAAATGATGGCACTTTTCCCTGAGCCACTTCACAGTCCTTATTGAAGGAAATCAGTTTGAGTTCTCCGTAGCTAGTCACACATGCCAGTATGGGATCAATAATCTGAAATGTGTCTGTATTTAGTTTGTGGGATATTTTGCACATCATTTAGAAGGCTGACACGTTTTTCCCACCCATATTTACTTGTGTTTGCAAGGGGAATAGACTTTGCTGTAGCAGATTTTATGTAACAAAGGACATGTCACTATAATAAATTCTTTTTATTAAAAACGATAATTGTTTGTATTCAATGTAATAAACACTGCTGTATGTGAAGAAATTTCAGCGATGGGCTTCAGTGGATGGTCAATCTCACTGAACTACAAACACTGGTGTTTAAACGGTAAAGAACTACCTTTCCCATGATTCTCTGCCGTCATGTGGGCGAAGGAAGCTAAACCGATGAAGAGGAGCTAGTTGGCATTACTTGATTAAATCTTGATTTTATCAATTGAATATCACCGTTTATTACTTTGTAAAATATCTCGGTAATTAGAAAACATTTTATTATCCAAGCCACGTGTACAGCTCGGACGAACTGTCGCTGTCAAGCAGGAATCATCTAAAATAAGGTAACTTAAATTTTGTATTAGCAAACCGAGCTATCTACCCCTGTTAGCTTAATACGAAGAAGCAGCGATCAAATATTAGCTGTCTTCATTTAGCGTAACGTTATTTCCATATTGTGCTGTATTGAAGTGTTCCTTTACATTTTATTTATGTATGTGGCATTTGAGGTAATTTCATGTTTTATTTCGCGTTACTGTTTTTTTTTTTTTTTTAAATAAATCTAGCTAACGCGAGTTTTAGGTCGTCATCTCCACACGCTGCAGCTCTCCCCGCTGTCTGTTACTGAGACAGATAGAGCAGCAGTTTTGTTTTGCCCTGTTTTGGTCTCTCTCTTTAAAAAAAATAAATAATAATAATTCTATGTTACTGTTATTCCAGTGGAGACAACCAGTGTGTGTAAGAGACTACAAGAGAGAAACAATGATGGTGTTTGATCTACCAACACACTAAGTTCCCCGGGAGAAGACATCTGATGAAAAATTACTGCAACATTACAGATTGTAAGAGTCACTAATTTTTAACTAAAGGCTAAATTAGAGCCTTAACTTTAAACCGCATGTGTGAAAACACTGGCCTCGTTCTCACTAGTTGTCCAATTATGGTTTCGGTTTGAAATGAATCACATATCCTACTGTGAAACCGCTTTTAAACAAACAAGTTTTTGTTTGCCTCTCTAACCTCTCATGCCTTTGGTAGCTCCATGAGTCTGTTTTATGGTCAAACACTGTTTGGCGAAAATCTATGTAATGTAAAAAATGCAGGCGTTTTTTTAAAGACACTAAATATGTGAGGCGAAATGACAGGGTTGTGTGTAAAAAATCGTTGATGAAACAATTGGTCGGTAGACAGACAATTAATCAACATTCACTACGATTAATCATTGAATTTGTTTTTAAAGTACAAATGCCAAAATTTAAATGGTTCCAGCCTCTCAAATGTAAGTATTTGCAGGTTCTCTCAGTCTTATTTAATAGTAAACTGAAAAAGTTTGGATTCCTGGACAGACTAAAAGTAATTTGAAGACGTTACCTTGGACATTTTTCACATTTATTCATTTTATAGACTAAATGATTAATAGATGAAGGAAAAATCAATAAGTAGATTGTTCACTAATGAAAATAATCTTCAATAGATTTTAAATGACAGAATTTTCTAACTGATGAAATGCTATAAAAACGCAATATAATAATTGTTTCAGGTCAGCTAATTTAAATCTAAGATTCTTTCTCTTATCTTTTTTTTTTTTTTTTTTTTTTTTTTTTTTTTTTTTTATTCTTTTTATTACAGCAGGCATGGAAGAAAAGGCAAATGGCTCTGTTGACACCAAAAGGTATTGTTTGCATTGATTAACATTGATTATTGAAAGATTTAAAGGAATGTGTTAAACTGATTTTACAGTCCAGTGTGCATGCACATCAAATTGAATCACTTTTATCACTTTTTTCATACACTTTTGACCCCACAGCCCAGTAGAGAATGGTCAGATGCCAGACCCTGCCAACTGGGGGGTCACCGATGTCGTCAATTACTTCAAAGCAACAGGGTTTGAGGAGCAGGCCACAGCTTTTCAAGATCAGGTTGGCGTGCTCCTCTGCTCAACATTTCTATCACATGATGAAAACAAACTAGGATGTCAATCAAATATTTCTCTCTCCACCTGACAGGAAATCGATGGCAAGTCCCTGCTCCTGATGACGCGTAACGACGTCCTGACAGGGCTGTCGATAAAGCTCGGCCCTGCGCTGAAAATCTACGAGTATCATGTGAAACCGCTGCAGACTCAACACCTGAAGAGCAACGCCTCGTAGCACCACAGGCCGTCCGAACACCCACCTCAGTGACAATCATTGTGTCAGGAGACCCCAGGTTAGCTGCCACTTCACAAAGACTCCTCTGGCCACACTGGCACCTTAACAGGATTTGAATGCTGTATGTTTTTATAAGCATGGACCCCTAAATGGGTTGCACATGGAGTCCACTCAGCTGTTTACCCTTTCAGCCATTCTTATTTCTGCTGCTTGAGATATGTATTTTATTTTATTTTTTGTGTGTTTTATTTAAAAGGATGAAAAATTGGGGGGGGGGGGGGTACTCTGCAGGTATGATTTTGTGTGTGTGTGTCTGTGCGCGCGTGTGTGTGTGTGTGTGTGAACATGTGTTTATGCGTGTTTGCAAAGTGAATTAACCCATGTCGGTTTAAAAAAAAAAGTATTTGTATATAAGATGATATATAGCTGAAAACTGTGTGTTCTGTCGTACCTGAACACTTTGATACGTGCGGAAAATTATTCCGATGCATCTCATTTTCCCTTGAAATCATTTTTTATGCCCTAAAATGCGCAGCTGAGTCCATGAGTCGTCCCTAGCATGTAACAATTAAGCATTTTGTTTTCCCAGCCAACCGAAAAGCCTCTTTGTTTCTGCACACCTACATTATTGAGGCTCTAAATATGAAAATATTAATGTGTATATATTCTTATTATGTTCCTACCTGTGGTGCTTTCAGCATTGTCGCACAGACAACTGTTTTGAAGTGTGTATGACCAATGTATATGTGCAACATAACACTGGAGTTTGAATATCTGAATCAAAGATTTTCAATAAATGGTGCTCTTTTCTCACCAAAGAACAATATTAGTTTGTAAGTTTATTGATAGTGGTTTGCGATTATTTAATTTTATTTACTTACATATTCACCTTACAAGCTCAAACACTTTAATCATGATTAGGAAATCATTAGTTATGATCCTTACAAAACAATTTAAAAGGTAATTTTTTTTTCATGGTTAGTCAATGTGATGTGACATTGACTTGTCAAGCTTATTAATGTTGATATGTTGATCACGGCAGCCGCGTTTTCTGGATTCGTCTCTGTGCCTTCACAGCTTCGCTTGCTGTTTCCTGCGTACTGTCCCCGTGATGTTCCCTGAGGGGTTATCCAGGGGAAGGAGTACCTGTGAGGAAAAAGAAAAATACAATAATATCCTATATTTCCTTGTCTAAACAACTTGAAAGATTCATTGTAATCCAAACTCACTTCATCTTTGTTGGTGAGGCCCATTTTTGTCATGTCTATGGTAAAGTAATGCTGGTTGGGCATGACGATCTCTATTTCATCCACCTGAAAGACAATACTCACGTTACACCCTGAGTTTTCTGAATAAGCCTGTTATATACTGTGTTTTGCGAAGTATTGAACTTGAAATATTTGTCATAATGTGTTCGTATGCACTCAATTACGAATGTAGAGAAAAGAACAGATGACAAGATTCTTTTGATATGTCAATGTTATTTAGTAATAGTTTATGTAACCACAAATGCTTGTGAGGTGATAGCGAGTGTTGATCTCATGATGTAAATGTAGGCATACCTCAGGAACTCTGTCCAGGACCAGAAGCTGTGTGTCATAAAGGGTCTTCTGCACAGAAGGTGAGAACTCTCCACGACCGTAGGGACCAGCAAACTTCTCAATAATTGTCTCCTTCACGCACTTCCTGCAGAGACAGTGATGTGATGGGAATTGGATGTAGAAAGAATGTGATTTCACTTTTAGCATTTTTGATATAAGTCTCATTTGAAATAGGAGAGATTTTTCTTCTGTTTTGTCATAGATACTAAACTAAGATGTTTAGTGAGTGCAGCATTCTCCTTCATAAATTACCATGCAGCGTCAAAGTTGACATCCTGAACCTTGTTGTAGCGCCACCTAGCATAGACAGAGGTGCAGAAACACCTGTCTTTGGTCTCTTGCAGAGTAGTGAAGCGGTCTCGGAGGAAACCCTCAAAACCAGACTGGGTGGTCTTCAGCACCGTCATGTTCTTCACCCCAGTATGAACCACCGGGATGCCTGTGTGGGGAACAGTGAGTGAATATGGAGCAATCGGAAACATTATGAAGCATTTTGACAGTTTGCAACGTAGCACAGAAGAGATATGTGACAGCAGGACACGCTGGACTCAGTAAAAAATAAGATAAGGAGCTCATCACAAGACGAGAATCCATAGCATCACTGACAAAGCGTGTAATCATAGCTTTGTCTCCCCTTGTTTGCACCACACCACAGGATTTAATCAACAAGCATCAAAGCTTCAAACTGGACATACATGTAGATCAAACCACAGCATCTGCACATCAGCATTCATACGTTTACTATCTGCTCAGCTACTGAATACCTTGATGCTGGGTGTGTGCCCTGTTGCTGCTGTTGCCTGAGCCACACCTGCCTTGATTACAACAACATTTCTAAGGAATCAGCTGAGCCAAGAGTTTTGTTTACATAGAGGGAGTGGGAAGTAAATGTTTTGAACTCCTCTCCAGTAGGGTTATAGTAGATTTTTAAGTTGTCTCAGAGAAACTAAATGCAAAAAATATATTTTCAATACCTTATATTCAATCCAAAATACTGTGTGTGTTTGTGTGTGTGTGTGTGTGTGTGTGTGTGTGTGTGTGTGTGTGTGTGTGTGTGTGTGTGTGTGTGTGCGCGTGCGCGTGCGCGTGTGTGTGTGCGTGTGCGTGTGTGTGAGTGTGTGATTTTGCTTACCATGGAGATTCTGTTCAACATCGCAGAAGCGACAAGCCTCTGGGCTGAAGATGAACGCATGAGCGTGTTCTACCCCGTTCTGAGAGAGAACAAATCTGTATCTCAGTCCATTACACATCACACTCATCAACGGCAAATGGTAAAAAGTTTGATGACGGATATAACAATTTTTGATGTGCTTCGCTGATGAGCGTGGTCATAAGTGTGCCCTAACGCACCTGTAACCACACCCAACAGTGATGTCACCAAGTTGAGAAATTGATCCACAATTTTGAAGGATGCTTAAGTGACTCTTTAGATTGTTTGTTTGAATAAGGGATACTCTACACAGCTATGATGAGTAAAATCTATCCACTTTTGTGCAGGACCGATCGCTGAATCTTGTATTTTACCTTCTCCAGCCTTCTCCACGGAGCCTCCTCCATGTAAACCTTGGCCCTCAGCACATGGTTGAAAGAGGTCAGGAAGTGACTACAGATATCCAGGGAAAACTGCTCGATGGTCTTTACCTGAACAGATGTGCATCAGATAAAAAAGAAGAGTGACAGGCTGTAGATAAAGCAATCTAAAAAACACTGTAATATGAGAAGCAGTGTTGTCAAATATTAATGGGAACATAAAGGCACTGCAGACTTTAACAACGGTCATGACTGGACAACACTTTAACAGGAAATGTTTACCATTGATGTTATCTGATCGGCGTGTGTTTGAGCCATGTGTAAACAGGAGTCACTTGAGGTAAAAGAATGGCAATTTCCATGACCTGTTAAGTGACTGAAAAAGCTGTTTTCTATTTCCTTAAACTAAAGCTGTATTAACTGTTCTGGAATTATGACATTAAATGTAATATATCTGTACTTTAACTTTCCTTTAAACAAATCAGGATCCTTTTGAAATTTAAAGTCTAATTTATTCAGTTTGTAGAAAATGAACCTAATTAAATCTCAGTAAGTAGATGTGTAAGTACTGTATGTTGCCATCAATGCTGTTGAATCTCTCTTCACCTCAGACGTGTGTGTAGCTGCTCCTGGTTATTTAAAGCTGGAAAACATAGAACCTTCTTCTCTTAGGTCTTGTGAAACAAACAAATCACTCAATGATTTTTAGTTAATTTCAATAACTCCTCAATTGCACAAGTTTAAGTTTTGTCTATAATAACGTGACACCTTTCAACAAACAGTACTAACCAAGTGTGCCTATTTTCACCTCTGTGATGTACTGTAGCAAGAATTAAGACTTAGCCTGGACAGACTCTGAATTTCACTACTGTTCTGTTTGTTCAAAACACCTGTTTTTCTGAAAATATGACCATATCACACCAGTTGTGGCCTCTCTACTTTCACTGTGCTTTGGCTCTTCGTAACATTAAATATTACATGACCTTATTTCCATACGTAATGAACATAATCCTGCTAAAATCTTTTTTATCCTCTCAGATTGAGAAATTTGTGATTTTGGAAGCAACTTGCAGAGTCGAGTGTTACCCTTGCACCTTGCCATGAATCCTGAGTTTTCATCTCTCTTGAAAAATTTCCTACTGATAGAAATTGTTGTCTATGGAACAATTCAAGTGTTGTGATGAGAAGGAATTTGACGGGTTGCCCCTTATTCACACCTTATAGGGTGTGTGATTTGTAGCTACGTCCCTGCTTGAGGTTACAGGATGCGGTGCACTGCCATGTTCCATGTTGTGTCTGTCAGTAGAGGTGGGTGACCTACCCCCCTGAGCTTGGCCAAGGCATGGACTGTGTTCTTGATGGTGTCGGTGGGGATGATGTCTGAGTTGTCTCCGGTTAGATAATCCTTGCGTGATTTGAGTGTAAGCTCCACGTCGGCTTTGAGCTCGATGATGGAGTGGTGGCTTCCCTGTCTCCTGATGACCAGCACTTTCACCGTGTTCTTGCCGTAGCCTGTTCGCACAAACTCCACATTCTGCACACACACAAGGGACAGATTACTGTTGTTGTTGTTGTTGTTGTTGTTATTGCAGTTCAGGACTTACCACTGATGTAAACAGGCCCTTTTGTGCCATAAATACACATTTTTCTGATATTAACTGTAGATTTACTTTATTTGCAGTATATATGTTGTTGGATTTTCTTCTTCTTTCCTTTAAAGTTTGGTCTTTGGTGTTGTGTTAACTGTGTGCTTTTTGTGTGCATTTTCGAGTTTGTTACAAGTATTTCATTTAATGAAATCCTCCAATTGGCTGCTTGAGCATGATTTCTGTCTACACACTACATTCATCCCTGTAAGTTATGACTAAAACAGGTCTGCTTTTGTGTAGGATAAATGAAAATAACATATATTATTTGATTTCTCTAAGACAATCAGTAGTAGCAATTAATTAGAAATTTAATATCCACTGCATGAGAGAGTAAGATATATGAAATTAAATCTGTATTGACAGAAATATTTGGACGTTTGTAGTTTACAATTCTAATATTTGCAGGGTTAGGGTCAGGGTGTTTGCCGCGTGGCCGTTGAACCCAAAAATTAGACAAACTCTAGTGTTGGATCATTATTTAAGGAGGCCTGAAGTTGATTATGTTCTGTAAAAAGAAAAGAAAAGATACTTCTGTAAAAAACATAGTGACTGTTACCTTTTCTGAAGCAGTTGCCATGGTGTCTTTTGTTCATACACCCGCTGTCTGAATGACCTCAGTCCCTGTGCCGTTTCCAGCAAAAGGGTGTCTCTACTGATGGAGGAGGATTTTGTAGAGAGGGTGTAGCTACCTTTGCACTCAGGCTATTTGAAGTGTTAGGTGAAGTTTAACCTGTTTTACCTGTCCCGTGTGTTTTACTTTCAGACATGGAAATCATGCTCTATTACATGCACATTGAGGATCACAGAGAAAAACCAACCTACATTTCTCAATACAGATCATTTTGTTGTGTTTTATTCTGCTCTATACCTTCTTCACCTTACTGGTTCCCCATCTTGAAGTAACTTGAAAAGACAGATTAGATATGTTACAGATTAGAAAGGTAACTGCACAACTCAAGTTTCAGTGACTAGCTTCGAAAATATCCTTTTCATTTAATTCGTTACCTCAATTGACGCCACTGACAATGTAAAAATAAAATGCTAAGTCAGATTAAAGTCTTTCATTTAATAGCTTTCTTATAGTTACATGGTGAGATAATTTTTTCGACCAGATGGTTTTCAGTTCAGTAATCAGCAGTTCCATCGCTAATAAAAGATGACTGTGGTCGTACTGAGAAGCTCCCAGGTGTGAACAGGTACAACACTTTGAAGATGAAAAACTGCCACTGGATAAGTAAAGGTACAACAACATAAAGACTCAAGGTTCTTACACAAACAGTCATCAAAAAAATTTATTCAATATATCCCCTATAAACCCTCACAGTCCCTTCAATCTTCCCCTGTCATGTGACTACATCTTATGACTTCCTCTTTTGCATGTGCAGTCAGATGTACTGTATCCACTTTCAAAGTTACTGTATCGTAAGGCACACAACCTGAAAACAGATTTCAGATTCACTTTCTTTGTTCCATGCTGTGTTCACCTCAGCTACGGGAGTCCTTCAGCATGGCCGCACACCTCAGTTCATGCCTCCAGATTGTTGTCATGTTTCTGTGTTGCACAGCGTGTAGCACTGGCATTTCCTGTAGAAATGAAGCTGGTGAGCCTGTTGATTGGTGAGTTGATTTTATACATGAAAATACACTGATGACAATGAAGCTTTAGTTAGTTATACTACTGCGTTTTTAGTTACAGTGGGTGAAATGTCTTGTGTCTTTCAGCAGCTAACTATATTGTTGGTACTGGCTATGTTTTGATACATTGAGGCATGAAACTGACACAAACTATGTTAAACAATTTTTTGAATATTCCCAAGATGTCCTCTTTTGTATATACGAAACAAAAAAAATTTCTCTCTCCATTCTCTGCAGGTTTATCATTTACAAGCTTCCCAAGTATAAGATCGGTGAGGTCGGCAGTGGGGTGGACTACATGTATCTGGACCCTTCAGTAGAGAACTGGCAGATGAGTAAATTCACAGTTAACATCAGTCAAGGAGCCATAGGGAACACACTGAACCAGCTTTACATGGGAAAGGCCTACAAGGTGAGGTTATGTCCCTATGGATTTCATACACTGATCTCTATAGAGGATGACAGAGACCCTTGCGGCATTAATCAGATTTAACACATCTCTGCTGTACATTGGTGCCAGTTTGCTGAGTGGACACTCCTTTGTTTTCTATGGGGAAGTGAACTGAAGCTGCACATTAACAAGCATCCCCAACAATATAATAACACAATCCTTGTTCTCTAAAAATGACAAGTAGTTTTTTAACAGCTAAGACTGCTGCCAGGATTTTCTTACTTTCAGACAGAGCCAGGCTAGTTGCTTCCTCCTGTGTCCAGTCTTTGTGTTAAGCTAAGATAACCAGCTTCTGGATGAACAGAGACTTTGATTCTGTCATTTAGCACTCAGCAGCATAAAGCAAATTAATGTTTCCCAAAATGTCAAACTATTCCTTTAAGAAATTACAGTAAGAGAAATTAAAAAAAAAAAATCACATTGCAAAAAATGTACTCCTCCATATAATATATGTGGCCTATAAAACAAGTTTTCCCCTCAGTCTAACAGCTCAGTCTATGCACTCTACAATGATGCTCCGCCAATCCTGGATTACAGGGAAGAATACGGACACACTAAAGGTACAGTGGATTTTGAAAAAATTATCAGCTCACAAGTTTTGAGGATCTTGCTTTGATCTTATTAAGATAAATTTAGATTGTGGCTGGATGAAAAGGCTGGTAACACTGGTAAAGCCTGAAGATCCTAAACTTCATAACTGGAAAATATCACAACATGTAGCCTACGGTAAATCACAACAGAAATACAGTACACTGTATGTAGTCCTATATCTTTTGACATAGCTGTTATTTTACATCATATGTGTTAGTGTGTATAAAAACTTTAAGTATTTGGAGAAAAATGTGAACAAATTTCAAAATTATGCAATTTCCTTCAAATGTATTTTAAATTGTCCACCTGACATCTGATATCTCTTTTTGAAGAGAGGGCACCTGAAGGTATCATTGTGAAAATGTTTTTTTCAGTGTGGTACATTCAGGGACCTGTCTATATTTTTGTGTCTGTGATAATTAATTTCAGATGTATCTCCTGGGTAATTTTCAGGCTTTTCAGTCCTATGATTTTGCAAAAAAGAACAGATCAATATATTTTTTTCTTGTCAGGGGGAGGTAATGGGCAAAGAGCATCTGTTTGATAACAGCTGTTGACTCTGGACACAACTTTGATGGGTTTCATGCAAGTGTGGGTTTGTTGTACGTGCTTTTGTGTGTAAAGAGTTGTTTGTGTGCATCCTGCAGGGGTGCTGCTCTTTGACCGCTCTCAAGGTTTCTGGCTATCGCACACCATTCCCCACTTCCCATCGTTCCCTGAGAGAGGCTACCTTTACCCCTCCTCTGGTAAAGTCAATGGCCAGACTGCTCTGTGTGTGACCTACCAGTATGAACAGTTTCTCCATATTGGTGAGTAAACGCTCATGAAGCAACAGGGCCTGACCCATTCCTGCTCTGTACACATCCCAGACTTCAACTTACAAAATTCTCTGTTTGCTGAAAACAAGAAAACATTAACATTGTGACCTGAGTTTATGTAAGTCCATAAGTAGTTTATATACATACAGACATTCATGACTCATAATGTACACACACCTGAAAAGGATTTGTCCGATGATGTTTTAACGTTACGTAAAAGTGAAGTAGGAGATTTTAAGACAATTACATTTGAAATGAAAAATATTTGCATATTTATAAATGGCTGATTTTTGAATAAGGGAGAAGGAATAGATGTAATTTTAGGATTTAAAAAAAAAAAAGTAATGTTTTTGTGGAAAAAGACACAAATTATTATTCAAAGTAGAGTGTTTTTATTTGTCATAAAACATGTCTGGTGGGGTTCTTTAAAGTATTTTTCCCATGTTTCCAGAGCACACTGTCAGATAACAAGACACACAGAAACACTATGAGCAAAGCTGTTGAATAATGTTGTCAACAGTGATTTTGCACTGGTAACAGGATTTTACTCATTTAGAGTTTTGACAGCTGACGCCATTTGTTTTGTATTGTACTGTGATAGCCTGTGTTTTTGACATTATCGAAAGGCTTTTAAGTTTTACCAACTAAAGAAATATTTTAATAGCTTGAAGCTCTCTAAAGACACATATTCACATTTGGAGAAATCCGAGTAACAGCCGTCAAACGCACAGCAAAAGGAGAATATCAGTCGGTCTCAATTTTTTTTTTTTTTTGCATTTAACCCTTTAAATAAATAACAAAACATTTTTTCCAACATAGAGTATGTCTTATTCCTCCTCCACTTTTTGATGCATTCCCATTCTTCTCCAGCAAAGCAGATGGTTTACCTTTACCCTCGTTTCTATAACTGCTCTGTACCTGCTGCGTTCTCGGCCGACCTGCCACAGCTTGCCCAGTTATGTGAGGGCTCCAGACCACCACTGGGCTCTGATAAGGGGGTGGAGCAGCTTTTCTCAGTCCACGGGGAGAAGTTTGTCAGTTTTGCCAAATCTGAACGCTTTGTGGATGGTAAAGTATGCCTCATGTACTGTTGGCCATTTATATTAGTTATAAGTTACACGACCACCATTGTCACTTCAACATTTACGCCACAGAAGAAACTGTAAACTCTGCACAACTTTGCAAAAGCATCTATCTACAGTCTTGTTTGCACATTTAACTTGTCTGCCACAGTCACTCATTATCAGGTGTAGACACACTATCATATCAGAACAGTGATGTGCATGAACACACCCCACCCAAGCCCTTCAAAAGTACTCACTCTTGTGGCCCCCTACAGTGAGGCAATGTCTACTTGTACTTCTTATCATATGGACAGTTGTGTCCACACTCATCGCAGCATAATTGCACCTCTGAGCACCTGATATTTAAATGTTCAATTGTCCAAAAAGTTTGCACTTACATTTAATATTTACATCTGAAAAAGACTGCACATGCAAATGATTTCATGAGCTTATCATGTCTTAATTCTCTTTAGTTTTTGAGAATTTGAGACAATATAAAACACATTATATAAAACATTAAACCTATTGTAACACATTTTAATAACCAAGTTTACTTTCCCAAATAAAAAATATGTTTTTAAAATTTTATTTATAACCATCTTTTTTGACCCTCTCACTGGTGTTCATTCAGATATCTACACAGGATGGGTGGCTCAGGTCCTGGATGCCGACCTGCTGGTGGAGACATGGCAGAGACAAGGTCACATGCTGCCCTCCAACTGCTCCCTGCCCAAACACACCATGAACATCAAGAGGATTCGGCTTTCTGGATCAGTCCTGTTCCAGTCCTACCACGACCACTCCAAATGGTGTGTGTCACAGGCTTATGAGAACCAGGTGACCTGCCTGGGGGACCTGAACAGGGAGAGGGCCCAACTGTGGCGTGGTGGGGGGCTGATCTGCTCCTTAAACCCCTCGATTTACAAGGCTTTCAGACAGGTGGTGGACTGGTATATTGACTGTTGAACTAGACAGGAGGACGGGATGGCTAGGACTGTATCAGTCTCCGACTCAGATTTAAATCTGTTTTAAAGTTGTGCGACTAAATGTGGAGGTTGATCCTGTTAGAGGCCTCAGGCCACACAAGAATCAAATTAGACGTCAATTAAAAAAAACAAAAAAACAGGGCTTTAATAGCTGCTTAGCTAATTGGATCCTAGTTGAGAATCAAACTTATATCCCAGTGAATTCTCCTTCCATTTATGCTTCAGCTGGAGATCTGTAATATGTACATCTTGACACACAACAATTGCACAAAAAACTTTGCTATATCAGAGGAGAAAACAAAGTATGATTTTGATTTGCAAATGTCAAAGCTTTAGAATCTATTGATTAAAATAATTTAATGTAAATAATAAAGATGCAAGATACAAGTGTTTCAGTCATCACTCAGATTTACTGAAAGCCTTTATCCACTTGTGTCACAACACTTAACCTACCTGTGTTTGAGTATAGGAAAGTTTATTTCTTCACCCTCTGAGACTATCACATGTTTTCTTATATCTTATGTGGGTGGAGACTGTGTCTGCATTCGCCATCATTATGTTCGGGCAGTTTTTACTTTTGGAGGAGGATGCAATGGGCTTAAACCTGAAGTAATTGGTGTATTGGGTAAACGGTGTCACCTAGTGGACAGACTGGTATAGTATCGTTAAATGTGGCATTTTCTCTGTGGATTATTACAAAGAGTACATAGTGTACCTGCACTGCTCTGTACACTGCTGACTGTTGCAGCATAAATTTTTGTTTTCCTTAAACAAAACAAAAAATCTGCTTCTGGGTTAAAATCATTTCAGAATCTATTTCTTTAGATTCGTATTTTTGATACTTTTAAAGACATCAGTCTTATTCTATCTTGTTTAAAGACACTAGTTTCTATTCTAGAAATTTCCTCAAACAAGAGAAACTGCAATGGTAGCAACTGGAATCACATTAATATCAAACCACCTCTCAGCTTCTAATTTTTATTCTGCACATCCTGATGCAAGATTAAACTTCCTCTGTCAGAACCGCTTTTATAACTTACTGTTTGACTCAAAATTGAGATTTTAATTTGTCAACTTCAGTGTCATGCTGACCTTCATGTTTCCTGACCCATGGAGGCGTCAAAGCCATACAGTCTTATACAAAACTAAAGGAGGGACATGGAAGAAGAACATACAGACAGACAGCTCCAGGCCCCACCCTCTCAGATTGAGATAATCAAATTACAGCAAGACAAGTAGATAACTGAGTACCTCAAAGGGTTCATGCTGTTGAAAACTAGGAAATAGCGAATGTTATTGTTAAAAATTTGTGTCATATACAATCTTTTAGTACAATGTGTTACAGAACTGGTTTACCAGCAGAGACAAAGACGACAAACAGATTTTGCAGGCCAACGACTTTTCATTGTTATACTTGTAGTTACGATTCGTCCAGTTGGCTGCTTTCAGTAGTGGGCTGGCATGATTTTATCTGTAGTAATTCCCTGGAAATGCCGGTTGAGTGTATGAACTTTGACAATGTCAAGCAACCTGTCAAACCACATTTCACTTTAATGACTATTCTTTCTTAGTAATAATAATGAAAATGCTTTAATAGAATAAAACAGTATAGGCATAGTTTTAGTTCTTTGTGGTGCAGCATTTCTTCATGATTAAGTTACAATAAAAGCTTTCTGTTTGAAGAGTAACTCACTTGTCAATATCACATCAGCATTTATTAAAACAATGAGTCAAACTGCTTCCTACTGTGCCCAAAAGGCAGATAAACCCCTCTGTTGTCCACTGCTTAAAACAGCCATGTCATCAGACAAGAAATCATTGAATAATTTGCAGTGAAGTAAAGCTTTTGAGTGACAAACCAGGAAGCAGATAAAAGTGTGTGTGGGTTTCAGTTTCATTTAACAGAGAGATATGATGAGAACAACTTTTCAAAGCAGGTATACAGTTTGCTCTGAAGAGGAATGAAGATGACTACATATGTAAGTAAAATGTTCATATGGTTAAAAATGATGCTGCAAATAATAGTAGTTGACTAGGGTGTTGGTTGAAGTTGTGTATGGTTTGTGTATGATATGTGTCCAGGAAGTAGCTTAATAGAAATGCAGAACCCTCTGATAACCTGCCATCCTGTTTGCACCAACATTGATCCTTAAGTCAAATTATGTTCTTGAAGCATCTATTCACTAATCTATTCACAAATATTTTATTTTAATATTTAATTTTAACATAATATGATTATATATACGTATATATATATATATATATGTCATGCTTCATTCTGTCATGTTTGATTGTTTCAGAGAGGAGTGATGCAATTCCTCTTCAGTGTTGGGATCCTTTTTCAAGGGTGTGATTCAGATGTAAAATGCAGGAATGACAATGGAGACGAGGTTGACTGGTTGGTGCAAATTTTGAATTGTGGCAGTTTATATTTTCACAGATTCTCAGTTTGATATGTAATAGAATATATTTATCTCTATCCCATTAGGTATATTTTATACAAGTTGCCCAATGTGACAGGCCGTGGTTTGTCATATCTGTACATGGATAAGAGCACTAATGGATGGAAACTCAGCAAAGAGAACATCAGCAGTAAAACTGGCACTCTGGCGAACACCCTGAAACCTCTTTTGGACTTCTATGACAGAAAGGTAAATGTATAAAAGGATACATGTCTCTCTGACATGACAGCCTTCAGTGGTCACACTAAATCAGAGTTTCACTGTTTTGTTGTAGATTGAAGGCTTTGGATACATGCTCTATAGTGATCAACCTCCAAATCAAAAGGCTCCATCTGCATCATTTGGCCACAGTAAAGGTGTGAACAGAAACATTCCACTTTATTGTTTTCAAAGCCAAATATTTCACATTGTAACAAAGCTCTGTTTCTATTCTTTTCTACTGTTTTACTTCCTACAGGAGTAGTGATGTTGGACAGACAAACTGGAGTTTGGCTCTCACACAGTACACCAAAATTTCCAACATATCGCAGTAAAGACTTCTGGCCAACAAGTGGAAACACTAATGCTCAAACATTTATGTGCATGACTTACTCCTATGATGACTTCAAGGAAATAGGTAGATAATACCAGTGATATTGCCGTCTTGTTTTGACTGAAGTTTTTCTCATTTACCTGAAAGGATGATAATGGAATTAAAAAAAATTGTATCTAAATTCTCAGGATTGCAGCTCATGTACATCCATACTTATCCATATGACTCTGACATACCGACAACCTTTCCAAATGAGCTGAGATGTGTTGCACAGCGAAACTGCTACCCAAAGAAGGGACCCTGGTTTAGAGAGACGTCACTGACCTCAGTGAAAGGACATCAGTTCCACAGCTTTGCAAAATACACACGTTTTGGGGACGGTGAGTGTTTGAAGTTGTGGGAGTTAAAATTTGTTTACGTTGATGATAAACAAAGCAAAATTAGAAACACATTTATAAAAGGCTGTCTGACCTCCTCTCTATTCAAAATGACATCATGTGCATCACTGTCTTTTTGTTCTATTTGAGGTGTTTTTTATTTATTTATGCATAAAATGTATTTCTAAAATTTTATCCCCACTGTCTTTGTTTTCCACACTATTGTAGATCTTTATTCTGGCCTTATTGCAGATAAACTGGAGAGGGCTCTGTATGTCAAGAGCTGGGGAAAGATGCAACGCCCCCTGCTCTCTAACTGCAGCATCCCTCATCATGTGTCCAATGTGAAGGAAGTGCAGCTCCCCGAAATGCAGCCTTTCAGTTACACTGTAGATCACTCCAAGTGGTGTGTGACACTCGGTGGTGGCTGGACCTGCATTGCTGATATGAACAGGGAAGTGAGCCAGATGGGCAGAGGTGGAGGAGCCATATGCACCAAAGATGTTGCAGTTGGGAATGCTTTCTATACATTGATCACACAGTCTGAACCATGTAAAAAGGCACATACACAGGAGCTTTAAAGGCACAACCCTCATTGAAATGTGTTGTCATGCTTTCACACATATTTTGGTGCATGTTCACCCCTGTCTCTTTTAGTCTGCATGATGTAGTTTTATTAATTAAACACTGCATTGTTTTTATTTTTTAAATCATGTTTTAAGCATTAAAATAAATAAACACAGCTGAATGATTACATCAATATTAAATTACAAATTCCATGTTACTCCAGGTGTTTTTCTGTTATCAAGTGATTAATCCTTTTTCAGCCATGGACAGATTAAACTGTTTAGGGAACCCCTGGGTAAAATGAACTGCTGGGCCCCCATTAACTGTAAGTTTTATCCATGCTGGGATACAATCTGAGTCCACATTAACTTCTGGCTATAGAAACCAACCTGAAATAATGAAGGTCTTTTTAACCCTAACCCTTGACACAAGGATCTACAAGGGCAGCTATTGCACATTGTATGGATACAAGTAAAGGCCCATATGAGGAAAATGTCTAAAATAGCATAAAACAAAGAGTTTCATTTTTGATATGTAACAACAATGATCAAGTTTGGAAAATAATTAAGTTGTAGCCTATAAACACTGATGGACAAAGTAATCATTTCCCTCATTTAGTAGTAAGTAGTGGCTAATGCTTACATCTTTATAGTTCTTCAAATGCAGTGGAAACTTAAAATGTTCTACAGGAAGCTATAGTGTCTGTCCCTGATTTAGACTTCTTATGACTATTTTGTTGCGATTGAAGCAAAAAAGAGGACAATGTAAATAAACAACAACAATAAAGAAGAGCATGAGAATTCCTTCAGTGTCAGTGTCCGAGGGAAAAGTTTTCACAACCCCCCCGCACAGCATGATTTCTATCTACCTAAATCTGATGTGTTCAGCAAATCAAGAGCTGAGATGCACCAACTCTTGTACTTTGTTCTTCCATGCTACATACTAATTGTTAGCTGGTTCTTAGTATATGGTGTGTTCATACTAGAAAAGTGACAAAATAAAGAACACTTACAGGATTCTGGTAACATGCAGTAAAATAAGACTAATTTGTCCTGGCTGTTTATCTTGTATCTATATATTATTGTTTGTCTGATGATAGTGTAGTTACTGCTGACTGTACAACAAATTGCCCCACGGGGATAATAAAGATATCCTTGATCCTTGTTCCTTAAAGTCATTATACATATTATAAAGCCTTGATTGTGGGTATTGTGTGCTGACCTGGTCTGACAGACAAAGAGAACAAACATGTGAGTGAAGATGTGTTTTCATTTGTTCTAAAGTCCTGAAAGAACAAGGTCGGCGCGGAAATGGAGCAAAGTGATTAGTCAAACTCAGAAGAATACAAGTGCAGTAGTAAATGCAACACTTCAAAGAAAACTCTGAACATTGCAGATGTTGGATTTCTATTAAAGCGGTGGGTTTGATACAACCATACTATTAAGCTTCTCGTTTCTTTTAACAAGAAAGTCAACATCATGGTGTTATGTGCACAATCAACAAGTCATTGCAGTAAACATTTTTGATTGAGTAACAAGGCAGCAGATGAACTGTGGGTTTTGGTTTTGACACTGAAATGTGACAAGATCAGCTTTTTGCGGAAACGGATGAACAGTTTACACTGAACATCTCACGGTGAGAATAAAAAAATGGAAGTGCCAAAATATGTAAGTAAAAAACTTTACAGGGTAAAAAATGATTCTAAAACAACAAACAAAAGAATCAAATACTAGATTTTTGTTGCTGTTGTGATGATTAAATGTGGCATTCTTACTGTTTAAGATATTTTAATTTGAATATATGATGAAGTAGAAACAATTCAATATCCCGCTCTTTGGAAATATGAACAAGTGCTAAATAAAATACCCTAATGCTCAAACATTTATGTGCATGACTTACTCTTATGATGACTTCAAACAAAATTGGTAGGGCTAATGCCATTGATGTTGCCAAATATGTCATACCGCATAAGAGAAAATACATCTAAAAATTGTTTTTACAATTTTTGAAAACAATGTTCTTATAATACAAGAATAATGTTAATGTGATAATTTGTCGGTTTGACTTAGGATTTCATTGAGTTTGGACTGTCATATGTAATTTGAGTGCCCTTTCTTTTTGTTTTCTGTTGTTTTGCACCACAGTGCAGTGATAAATAACCCTGTTGATTTAATGGCTGTAGGTTTAGTATGGCTGAATATCCGAGTATCTCTTTTTGACTTGTTGACTGTGCCATGTAGTACAGCACTTATGACCAATTTAATGTAGCATGTCATGCAAAATCTTTCACTTGAAACAAAACTCACAGGTGGAGCAAAACATAAAAATATTGTCCCTGTGAATATGACAAAACTGTATATTCAAGCACATATTGTACTACCTCAGAGTTGTACTTAAGTAAATGTAATTTGTTATTTTCCCACTCTGTACACAAGCTATTGTTTTCATACTTTGTTACAATGCAACAATTGTACAAACACATTTGCTTATTTGCTTGCAGGAGAAATTGTTCTAATATGCTAACTGTTGATTTGACTTGTTGATACAGTGCAAGATATATGTTGTATTGTTCAGTGTTGAAGATCCAGGAAATGGCTTTTTAAAAATATATAACTGTCCTTTCCCAGTCATACCACAGCTTCCTGTTCACACCATCATCTAGCCCCATCATACTTTAAAAAGAGTTCCTATGTTTTTCACTTTTCTTATCATAATTATTATCATTATTCTTTTCTGATTATGTGTGATTATTTCAGAGGACAATGATGGCACTGCTCTTCAGCATTGGGATCCTTTGTCATGGGTGTGACTCAAAAGTGACTTGCAAAAATGACAAAAAACAAGGAGGTGGACTGGTTGAGAGGACATCGGTATTGTATGTATGTATTGAAAACCCTGGAATTGCAGAGGCTTTCAGAACCATGATCAAATGGCCTAATCAATGTGAACTTGGGCGTCTAGATAATCCCAAGGTGCTCAACACAGGGAAGAGCAAACGCCAGTTCAAGATCTGAGCAGCTGGTAAGCGCAAAAGAAATTTTCCGAAAAAACAGCCACACCATTTGCAGTGTGGCTGACTTCCTGGTGCACAAAAAAAGGGGCCCACAGATGTTGAGGGAGTGGAAAGTGTGCTGACCACATTTCTTCATACCACTCCATAGATTTGAACCAGAGACCTTTTGGTCCCAAGCCTGCTTCTCTTTTTTTCCTTTTTTCTTTTTTTTTATTATCTTCTGCATGTCATGCTCATTCTGTCAATGCAAATAAATATAATTAAGGTTTCCTTTTAATGTTTGGTCTGTTTTTCTTCCTGAAAAATGAATATACCCATTCTGATAAATCTATCTTAGACTTTTTTAGTAGCGTTTGTCCAACAAACAAAGTATTTTGAATCAGATATCACGATGATGAATCAACTTAAACCATTAAAAACTGCAATGTACAGGCAAGATCTAGCCATTATAATTAATTAGTATGATAACTAGATAATTAATCCTAATTTGTAATTATTAAATTTAGGAAATTCAAATCACTATAGATGTAGCTTTGGTAACTGTAGTGGGGAAGTGCTCAAGCTTTTGCTTAAAGGAAAAGTAAAGTAAAAATAAAGTATTACAAGTAGAAACTCTACATTTCAAGTTTCATTTGCAGTGAAATCACAGAAATCTGAAAAGTATGTTCCTACATGGTTGGTTAATCTGCAAGAGGGCCCCAGGGTTGAAAAGCAAGGGCGTAGGTTCGCATATGGACATGTCCCTACCTATATTTTGGGAGGACAGAATTGTCCCTACCAACATTTGAGTGAAATCATTCATATTATGTGTGAAGTCATATTAGATCATTCCAATGTGCCCTCCAAGAGGCTACGTCTTCAAGACAACCAATTTAGGCATGCTAGCATTTGATTGACTGAAAGGCCAGAGGCTATCTGAAGGCTCATGTCATGTGAGAATATCACATAAAGTCAATAAAAAAATGTCAACTGATGTTGTTTAGTCATTTTAGCTAGTGTTAACTAGCTAACTAACCTTTTTAAAAAAAAGTTTTAAAAAATGACATAGTAGAATAAGGTAAATAAAAGTAAAAAAAATGACATAGTATAGTAAGGAAAAAAATACTAAAAATGACATAGTATAGTAAGGCAAAAAAAGCCCTAAAAACAAGTTAGTATAGTAAGGCAAAAAAAAAAGTCAGAAAAATTACATAGTATAGTAAGGCAAAAAAATACTAAAAACAACATAGTATTTTATGGCAAAAAAATGACATAGTATAGTAAGGCAAAAAAAGTCAAAAAATGACATAGTATAGTAAGGCAAAAACAACATAGTATAGTAAGGCAAAAAAAAATCCAAAAAATGACATAGTAAAGTAAGGCAAAAAAAGTCAAAAAAATAACATAGTATAGTAAGGCAAAAAAAAAAAATATGACATAGTATAGTAAGGCATAGAAAGGTCATAGTATAATAAGGCATAGAAAGGTCATAGTATTGTAATGCATAAAAAGCTATAAAAACGACATAGTATGATAAGGCAAAAAAAATCAAAAAAATTACATAGTATAGTGTTACATGCCTGGCTGTGAAAAGTGCATTTGTGGGTGTGTCCCCCCCACCTTCTCTCTGTCCTCAGGTGCAATCAGCCTGATTGGCCTGCACCTGTGGAGTTTGGGTGCACCTGGACCAGCTAATCACCTCCCCATACAAAAGGACCGTGCATGCAGTGCTGTGGTCACTTCTTTTCTCCCTCTGCTTGCTGGAGCTGTTGGTTGTCGTGTGTTTTCGATTCGTGACTTTGAGCTAATTTAGTAACTTAAAACAAGGTTTGTGGAGTGAGGTGGTGGATATAGGTAAGTTGGGGTACCCTTTATACATTGCACTCACATAGGACTCCTCTGTATATACGCACTAGGTTTCAGGGTTGGTGCCACCTTTGTATTTACTTTTGGTTAACCTTCTTTGTTAGATAAGACTCAGGATTTTGGTTTAAGTTTTATTTTGAGTCTAGCTAGGCCCAGTTTTATTGTACTTTTCAGTTTGTTTAGTACAACCACCTTGTCCCATCCTCCTCCACAATGGTATTTTGTTAATAGATTTCTGTTTTAATAAACCATTTTTCCTTACTTATGACATGGCTACTTGATTCGGGTTTTGGTTGTCGTTTCGTCTCCTTTGTAACTTGCCACCGAAGGAGTCGTAACATATAGTGAGGAAAAAAAAGAAATAAAAACAACATAGTAGGGTAAGGCATACAAAAGTGAAAAAAATGACATAGTATAGTAAGGAACAAAAAACTAAAAACAACATATTATAGTAAGGTATAAAAATAGTAAAATCAACGTAGTATAGCAGGGCAAAAAAAATCAGAAGAATTAGATAGTATAGTAAGGAAAAGAATACTAAAAACAACATAGTATTTTAGGGGAAAAAAGAGACATAGTATAGTAAGGCATGAAAAGTCATAAAAAGAAATAGTACAGTAAGGCAAAAAATAAAATAGTATAGTGAGGCAAAAAATGACATAGTATAGTAAGGCAAAAGTGTCAAAAAATTACATATTATAGTAAGGCAAAAAAAGTTAAAAAAAAATGACATAGTATAGTAAGGAAAAAAAGTAAAAAATATGACATACTATAGTAAGGCATAAAAAGTCATATTTTGTAAGGCATAAAAAGTCATAAAAAGGACACACTATTGTGAGGCATAAAAAGTCATAGTATAGTAAGGCATAAAAAGTCATAGTATAGTAAAGCATAAAAAGTCATAAAAATGACATATTATAGTAAGGCATAAAAAGTCATAAAAACGTCAAAGTATAGTAAGGCATAAAAAGTCATAGTATAGTAAGGCATAAAAAGTCATAAAAACGACATAGTATAGTAAGGCATAAAAAGTCATAAAAACGTCAAAGTATAGTAAGGCATAAAAAGTCATAGTATAGTAAGGCGTAAAAAGTCATAAAAACGACATAGTATAGTAAGGCATAAAAAGTCATAGTATAGTAAGGCATAAAAAGTCATAAAAACGACATAGTATAGAAAGGCATAAAAAGTCAAAGTATAGTAAGGCATAAAAAGTCATAGTATAGTAAGGCATAAAAAGTCATAAAAACGTCATAGTATAGTAAGGCATAAAAAGTCATAAAAACGACATAGTATAGTAAGGCA